CTCCCAAGTTTTTCCACAGCTTATATAGGACATATACTACAGCACTTTTCAAAAATACTGGTTCCCCCATATACAATGTATTTCTCCAAGCCAAGATGAAGGGAATATTCCCTGGGCTTTCTTGGGGTACATCGTAGGGTTGGGGAAGCAGGTTGATAAATTAACAACAGCCTTTTTGTTCTAAGTTGTTGGATTCTTTCCTCCACATTACACCAAGGAATTTCTGGCATCTTAACTTTGTTTAGTTTTGGCCACATTTGAGTCCAGGTTTTAGTCAAGCAGTTGAGCAAAGAATGTAGAATCATCTCCAGCTGCTTGAGTTAGCACTGTGAATCAAAAATTTCTGATGAGTATCTAAATTTAGCCTGATTTAAATTACGATCCTTTTTCCTCTCTGGTCTAGCACTTTTGGAATCCCTTTTACTACATGGTCCCAAGGTTTTCCCTCTATAATTTAGCAAAATCTTGCTGTTCTTTTGTGTGTGGGTTCATTTATATGTCTGGAGGCAATGAAGGATGGAAGGGATCAGTCACTCTAAATTGTTTAAGGAAGGTACTCCAGTCTCACCTGATAGAGGAGGGCTGCCTCTGCTGGTGTAGGGAACTCAGTAGCTCTGGGGGTTATTTCTGCTACTGAAATCATCCAGATGTCCCCATTAAATTCTTGGATCCTGCTCTTTCATAATCAATGCCTTCTTCTGCTCCTGGCCAGGATGAAGAAACTGGTATTAGATCTACCCTCTTGCTTTAAACAACGGTTACAGTACTATTGCTATGTAACAAGCCTACTCAAAACAGTGGCTTCAAACAACAGCAGTCATTTGTTTTTCTCTTATGGTTTTAGTGGAACAGGAATGCAGGAAGGACTTGACTGGGCAGTGGCCTGGGACCCCTCATACCCTTGCAATCACATGGTGGCTGGAGCTGGGATAGCAGGCGGGGCTAGCTGACCTGGGACTGACTAGGAAATTCTCTTACCTCATCTGATCACAAGGCCTCTCTGTGTGATTCCTCCATATGAATTGGCCTGGGCTTCTGCACAGTGTGGCGACCCCCAGGGTAGTAAGGTTACTCACTAACTGGTCAGGGCTTCAAGTCAGTGTTCCAAGAGAACAAAGCAGACGACGCTGAGTGGCCTTTTGTGGCACAGGTTTTTTTTTTTTTTTTTTTTTGAGACAGAGCCTCAAGCTGTCCCCCTGGGTAGAGTGCTGTGGCACCACAGCTCACAGCAACCTCCAACTCCTGGGCTCAAGCGAATCTCCTGCCTCAGCCTCCCAGGTAGCTGGGACTATAGACGCTCACCACAATGCCCGTCTATTTTTTGGTTGCAGCTGTCGTTGTTTGGCAGGCCCGGGCTGGATTTGAACCTGCCAGCTCAGGTATATGTGGCTGGTGCCTTAGCCACTTAAGCCACAGGCGCCGAGCCACTTGGCCCAGCTTTGAAAGTCACATAGCATCACTTTTACCAAAGTCCCAAGCCCACCAGAGCAATCATTAACGGATGATACAATAATGTATAGCTAGAAGCCACAGAGGAAATAAAAAGGAAGACTAAAGCATATTTGATTAATCTGATGAAATGCTTTAACTCTCACATGGAAGTAGTGAGACTGAATCCACCCCATGCAGTCATTCAGCAATCCTGCAAGGACTGTGTCCACCTACATTTGATTTGACTGTACCAGCGTGGCACCTTCAAGGGAAAATAATTGTAAATAGTCACAGAAATTTTCTGGGTCTCTGACCTGGAAGAATTGAAACACTGAGTGTCATTTTCTTTCTTTGAGTTATCCAGTGAACTTGGGAACAGCAAGTTACCTCACAGTTGTATTCCCTAAGAATGTCAGACAAACCTTGCGTTTGGTCGGTGCTTTAGTCTAAGTCACCACAGGTGAAAATTCAAGCAATTCTTTCATCACTGGATATCATGGGCTGCCATGTTTCCTCCCTGCTCATCACGACAGCCTCTCTGCCTTCAAACCCAGTCCCATGACATCCCAATCACAAATTAGCTTTTCCCCTAGGGGTACATGGCCTATCCAGTTACTATGATGGTCACTGTTTATAGACCATCAGAATTATAGACCTCAGAATTCATTGAAAATGACCAAAGTAGAAAGAAATTTATTAAATAAATTAGCCTTCAGAATTTCTGACATGGTGTGCCTGTCATACCAATAGGGCCAGGCCATCAAGAGAAATTCCATTAATCACACTGTAAGATCATTTTAGCAAAAATTCTGCCTTGGGGCTTGGTGCCTGTGGCTCAAGAGGCTAAGGTGCCAGCCACATACACCTGAGATGGTGGGTTCAAATCCAGCCCAGGCCCACCAAACAACAATGAAGGCTGCAACCGAAAAATAGCCAGGAGTTGTGGTGGGCGCCTGTAGTCCCAGCTACTTGGGAGGCGGAGGCAGGAGAATTGTTTGAGCCAGGAGTTGAAGGTTGCAGTGAGCTGTGATTCCAGGGCACTCTACCCAGGGTGACAGCTTGAGGCTCTGTCAAAAAAAAAAAAAAGAAAAAAATTCTGCCTTAGCTACAGTGTATTATACATAACTTTGGTTGAATACATCTCTTCATAGGTGACCTTATAGAGTTTTGGTTAGATACAGGAATATCTAAGTATATCGTGTGTGAATAGAGGAATTCCATTAATTTATTCTAAAACTTTATGTTTATTCTGGCTATCTGGGACTTAGAATTATTTTGCCTTAGAAACTTCTATAAATTCTGGCTCCATTTTCAAACTAGGTTTAGAAGCACATACATAACCCATGCTGTATGAGAAACACAGCAGGGCCAGCATCCAGAGACACTCTCAGGAGCACAGCCCTCTTTTAAAAAGATTTCATAAAAATTAGACTGCTCAAGAATTCTAGATATGTCCAAATTTAAGAAAATCAAATATGTGGACTGTCAGATGGCCAGTATATGTATGTTAGGGACTTGAAAATCCCATGTAACTACCGCAGAGTGGCTCTCCTGGATCTGTACATCCGTTTTGCCAATGGTGACACTCCTGCTGTTTGCGTGCAGGTGTGGGAGATGGAGAGCAGGGCTGCTACTGTGCTTCTTTTTTTTTCTTTTTGAGACAAAGTCTCAAGCTGTCACCCTCAGTAGAGTGCTATGACATCACAGCTCATAGCAACCTCAAACTCCTGGGCTTAACCTGCCTCCGCCTCCCAAGTAGCTGGGATCACAGGCACCCGCCACAACGCCCAGATATTTTTTGATTGCAGCGGTCATTTTTGTTTGGCGGGCTGGGCTAGATTCAAACCCGCCAGCTCATGTGTATGTGGCTGGCACCTTAGCCACTTAAGCCACAGGCACCGAGCCTGCTACTATGCTTCTGCTCTCTGTAGAAATTTATCAGAAATAGAGTGGGGGATGTGGGTGGTAACAAGCAAAGAATTCACTTGAGGGATGTAGTGGCTTCAAATTGTGGACATCTGAGAATAGTACCCAGGTCTGTACAGTGCACTGAGGATGATTTTTATTTTTGTGAGACAGAGTCTCACTGTGTCACCCCTGGTAGAGTGCTGTGGTGTCACAGTTCACAGCAACCTCCAATTCTTGGGCTTAGGCGATTCTCCTGCCTTAGCCTCCTGGGTAGCTGGGAATATAGGCGCCCGCCACAACGCCTGGTTGTTTTTTGTTGCAGTTGTCACTTCTGTTTTAGCTGGTGGGTGCAGGGCTTGAACCTGCCACCCTTGGTGTATAGCGCCGGCGGCTACCCATTGAGCCACAAGAGCCGCCTGAGGATGATTTTTAATATGGTGAATGGACTATTTGGAGTCAGGTCTAGTGTTGGCAAGTTTTATCTGTGAGGTAAGATATAGTTTGGTTAAGAGCTAGATTTTAGGGTCAGGCACAGTGGCTCACGCCTGTAATCCTAGCAGTCTGGGAGGAGGCTGAGGCAGATAGATTGCTCGAGCTCAGGAGTTCAAGAACAGCCTGAGCAAGAGCGAGACCCCATCTCTACTAAAAATAGAAAAACTACTGTCCATTGTGGCACACACCTATATTCCCAGCTACGTAGGAGGCTGAGGCAAGAGGATTCCTCAAGCCCAAGAGTTTGAGGTTGCTTTAAGCTGTGATGCCACGGGACTCTACCCAGGGCAACAGAGACTTTGTCTCAGAAAGAAAAGAGAGAGAGACTTTTAGCAATGCCTATTAAATTGTACCCTCCTCCTCCTTTTATAAATTTCTCAGCAATCTCAGGATCCCCACCCAAACCAGTTTTAAAAAAGAAACACATACTTTGCATTGTTGTTGGGTAAGGGGAATTAAAGGTGCTGCTCTAGGTAACGGTCACGTGGTGGCACCTGGAGCAGGGAACTTGGCGCCATATGGGTCCCCCTGACACTGTGAAGTAAGCCTCTCCCTGGTGCCTTTCCTGGAGGATTCCAGGGCCGCTGAAGCAGGGTTCACCTTTATGCCTTGTGCTTCTCTTTGGCTTGTGCCGCCGAGGCGCACTCTGTACTTGTGCTTTGCTTTATTGTGTTTCTCAGGCTCGGCATTGTTTTTACAAATTGAAGGGTTGTGTCAACCCTGTGTGGAGCAGGTCTTCTGGTGCCACTTTTCCAACAGCAGGTGATCACTCATGTCCCCATGTCAGCATTTTTTAATGGTGAAGTATATTTTAATTTGTATACATTGTGTTTTTAGACCTAAGCTATTGGACACTTCAGAGACTACAGTATAGCATAAACACCACTTTACACAGACTGAGAAAAAGATGTGTTTGACTTGCTTTGTTATGACATTTTCTTCACTGTGGTGGTCTGAACCAAAGCTGTAATATCTCTAAGATACACCTTTATTTATTTTCTCTTGGTCCTTTCTTATTCAGCCAGTGTCCTATACGCATGAAATAAATAATTCCAAACCTGCAAAATAAAATTTTGGATTGTGTGAAATAAAAGATGTATGTGTGCTTAAAAAAAAAAATAGCTATCAGTCACTATTAAGCAATATTTAATTATTTCTGTTGTTTTCAGGCAGAAGAAATCCTTAGGCAAGAGCTGGAGAAAAAAGAAACACCAAGTTTATACTGTTTGCTTGGAGATGTTCTTGGAGACCACTCTTGCTATGACAAGGCCTGGGAGTTGTCCCGGCACCGCAGTGCCCGCGCTCAGCGCTCTAAAGCCCTCCTTCACCTTCGGAACAGGGAGTTCCAAGAGTGTGTGGAATGCTTCGAACGCTCGGTGAAGATTAATCCCATGCAGGTCAGACATTTCATAAATCCCTCTAAGCCTCAACGTGGATTTGATCTTACTAAATGAGCGTGTATTCACTGTCTTGGTGAGAGGCAAGCCTGTGTTTGAGAGCTAAGAACTTAGTCCCTGATATACTTCTTGCTTGTCACCAAAAGTAGACATGTAGGTTTTCTCTTACTCTCTTTCTGTTGTTTTAAATTTTCTGTCTCGTTTTGTTGTTTCTTTCTCTTCTCTGTCCTGAACTCAGATAAGGCATTAAAATTAGGTGCTGACTGGACATGGTGGCTCACTCTTGTAATCATATTACTCTGGAAGATCAAGGTAGGAGGATTGCTTGAGATCAGGAGTTCGAGATCAGCCTGAGCAAGAGCGATCACCTTGTCTCTACTAAAAATAGAAAAACTAGTCAGGTGTGGTGGGCACCTTTAATTCTAGCTGCTCTGGAGGCTGAGGCAAGAGGATCACTTGAGCCCAAGAGTTTGAGGTTGCTATGAACTATGATGCCATGGCCCTCTACCCAGGATGACAGAGTGAGATTCTGTCTTAAAAAAAAAAAAACAAAAATTATCTGTTAATAATGCCATAAGTAAGGAACCCTGCTATAACTTGGCTATCACTATAGTTTTGAGGGGTAAAAAGTAGAACTCACTATCACATTATTCAAATTTTGCTTTTACAGAAAGCTGTATGATATCCTTGCTCATGTTAGTAGGCTGAGTTTGCCTACCCACAGCTGCAGCAAGAGTGGGGGGATGAATTTTCTTCTTTAGCCTGCCTCAGTCTCAGTTCAATCAGTGCGAGGATCTCACAGACACGAATTGTTCTCTCAGGTGCACAGTCTGTTCTCAATGGATCATTTTCCTCCTGGGCACTTCTTAGTCTCCCTTGCTGGCTCCTAGAGGTGCCCAAAGGATCCAGTCCTTGGACCCTGTGTTTGTGTACACTTCCTATTGACAGTACCCCAATTTTTATTTTCAGTCCTGTCTTCTCCTCTGAACTCTAGATACCAGTATCTGATTGCTTACTTCAGGCGTCCTCAAACTACAGCCTGCCTAGGACATTTATCTGGCCCGCCGGGTGTTTTTGCCACTGCTGCCTGTCCTGCTTAGCAGCCAACTGTCCTGGGGCCCACAGTCCGGCGCTCCAGTGGTCTGAGGGACAGTGAACTGGCCCCCCGTTTGAGGGCCCGTGGCTTACTCAGTCTCTCCATTCCTTATTCTAACACCATTTCCCATATCTGAAATGTTCTCTCTGTAAAACCTGTTCTCCCCAAGTTTATCCCAACCTTTGTAAGTGGGAGCCACATCCAACTTTGGAGTCATCCTTGATTCATCTTTCCCTTATACCCCCATCCAACCCACCAGCAAATCCTAGCAGCAGGATCTGCCTTCATCATGTATCCAGAGTCACTACTTCTTGCCGCCTGCCACCCTCCTGGTCCACATCCCCATTGCCTCTCACCCAGCCAATTATGTTACCTGCATGCCGGTCTTCCTGCCTTTCTCCTTGTCCCCAGTCGCCTGTTCTCAAAGATCACCCAGATTAATCTTTTCAAACTGAAATCAGACATCTCCCTCCTCTGCTCCCCATCCTGGCTCTCAAGGCTGTCCCCAGCCTGGCTCCTGTTGAGGCTTCTCCCTGCTCCCCTCAGCTTTCCTCCCCCTCTTTGTTCTTCTCTGAATAAAACAGGTACTTTCTTGCCTTGGAGTCTTCCTCTTGCTCTTCCTCTACCTAGAATGTTTTTTTTCCTAGCTATCCTCATACCTTGTTCCCTCATCTCAGCTCATCTTTGCTCAAATGTCACTTTCCCAGAGGGGTCTTCCATGATCATTCTATTTGGAATGATACCCCTAATTTTCCTTCTCCGCTTTATTTTTCTCCTTGTGCCTTATAATATTACATGCAGCTTACTTTTAAAAAATCCTATTTCTCTTCCACTGGAATGTGAAAAGTCCATGAATTTTCATTTATATTTTCCTAGTGCCTATAACAGTGTCACACATATTAGGTATTTCACAAATATTTGATGAATGGGTAAGTAAATAACATTTTTAACCATTTATTCAGTCAAGTATAAACTAATTATTGTGCACGTAGCACTGAGCTGAAGAATGGAGAAGTAGCAGCAGGTCACCCGAATGTTTGGTTATTACCCTTGGGGACAACCCAGTGAAAGTTAGTTAGTTAGTTAGTTAGACAAAACTAGCTAACAGGATGATGTGGCAAAGAAGAGCTAAGCACGTTATTTGTAAAGTGCTAGTAATAAAGAGGCCAGGGAAAACATTTCCACCTTTGGAAGACAACGAAGAGAAGATGTGGCTTTGAAAACAAGTAGTACTTGACGGGACAGAAGAAGGGCAGTGTTGCGGGCATTTGAAGCAGGTGAACAGTGTGGGCAAAGAAAGCCTTGGAAACAGCAAAAGAACAGGGAGAGGGGTGTGTGTGTTGGGGGATGGCAGGGCTGCTAAAGCAGGGCAGTTAGAGGGGTAACGCTAGACCAGGGCAGTTACAGGGGCTGCTAAAGCAGGGCAGTTAGAGGGGTAACGCTAGACCAGGGCCAGGTTACGAAGTCTTAAATATGAGGCTAAACTCTTTGGCTTTTTATTTGGCAGATAGGGAGCTATTGAAGGGCTGATTTGTTTGGGGCTTTGTTTTAAACGAAGGAATGTGTGTTAGGAGGTAATTAAAGAGTACTGTTTTGGCAGCCCTGGCTGCAGGGATATAGACATAGGCAGAGTTAGGAGACTGTACTCATAGCCTGGTGTTAGCCATCCCGGTTATCAGTGTGGAGGGGCGAGAGGCAGGAATGAAGTGAAGGAAGTCGCGAGGGAAGACTTGACAAGGCTTGATGGTCTCATTATATAATTTATAATTAATTACTTCAATAGACAAAGAAATGGCAGTTGCTTAAAGCAGAGTCACAGATGTTATGTGAGGATATTTTGCAGCTTGTCATATGGATCCAATTCAGGCGGGCTGTGAGCCATGCCAAAATATGCAGGCATTTGATGCTGCAGTTGTACAGAACTACTACAAGATGCAAACTTAAACCCCACAGACTTATTTTAACTTGGGAATGCAGTTTGAACTGCCTCTAAGGAAGGAGATTTCCTGCGTGCTGTGTTCTCTCCTTTAAATCCCACAGTAAAGGCAAGAGAGAAACATGAAATTTTAAAAAAACCTTTATTTTTTTCAGAGATGATCCAGATTATTTGGAGATTATCTTCTAATTACTTGGAGATATCCAAAGAATTAGGTCCAATATCAAAATGTAGACAAACTGTGGTATTTGAACAGCCTTTTGTATATCTTAATGACTCTCTAAAGTCAAATTGGTATAAGAATAGTTGTATCTGAAAAGGGTTGGGGAAAAAAGAGATGGGCCATTTCTTGTCATCTTTTAGATTAAGCACATGGTAAGGTGAGAGCTCAAATAAAAAACAGAGCTCTTGTAAGGTGAGAGCTCAAATTTAAAAAGTGAAAACTATTAGAACTATTACAAAGTAGGAGTGTTTGGTCTTATGTCAGGGATGGGCTGCAAAACTCAGTATGTTGTCTATAACACATTGGTTAGAGAAGCAGAAGACACATACCATTTACATTTGTGCTTCTGAGATTGCTAGCTATCATTCACTTATACTTAATTGTTTCATTTTCCCAAGTGGCTTCTGAAACTACTAAATTTCAGCCTTAGCATTCTGAGGTTTTGGGGTTGTTGGAAGCTGAAGGAAGTGGAAAGAAAACCTAACCAAATCTCCCAGGCAGGATTGTGTAGACAAAGGCTCAGAATGAAAATATACATTCTTATTCCTATTCTTAGATAGTTATTATTCCCACTGCCTGCTAATTGTATGCAAAAAAGTAAAAACAAAGAAATTGCTTTGCTATCAAACTAGCATGTGTACCGCTGAAAAAGGAAAATGTTACTTCTTACCAATTTTTCTGTCTCCTTTCCTGCATCCATCACGTTTCCTTTACTATAGTCAGTCCGCTCTGCCTTATAAAAAATTATTTTCCTTGACCCTCCTCCTTACTCAACTGGTCACTCCCCTTCATGAGGCTGTGTGAAGTTACTGGCAGTGGATACCTATATAGGCTAACCTCAGAGATATTGCGAGTTCAGCGCCAGATCACCGTAATAAGTGATATCATAATAAAGCAAGTCATACAAACTTTTTGGTTTCCTGGTGCATATAAAGTTATGTTCATATTATATATAGTCCATTAAGTGTGTGATAGCATTATGTCTAAAAACCGGTATACCTACCTTAATTAAGAAATACTTTAGGGCAGTGCTTGTGGCTCAAGGAGTAGGGCGCTGGCCCCATATACCGGAGGTGGTGGGTTCAAACCCACCCCGGCCCAAAACTGCAAAAATAAATACTTTATTCCTAAAAAATGCTGATGATCATCTGAGCCTTCAGCTAGTTGTAATCTTTTTGCTAGTGGAAATTATTAAAAGAGAATATAATTGAGAAGGTCTATAACTTAGCAGCATCTAAAGTTGTTGAAACATAAAGAATCATAGATAACTTATTTAATTGCTTTTGTCTTTTAAAAACATTTATTGAAGAAATGTACTCTAAATGGAAGCCAAAAGATATTTAAGAAAATTTCAATATTAACAAAACTAGAATTAAGAATGTTTAATTTAAGAATCAATTCCATTTAGCAAAAGTTGCTATGAGCTTACCGGGGACTGCAGCATATTTAGAAAGAATATTTTCTCAATTAAAATTATTATTGCCTACAGAAAAGAGTCAATAAAAGCTTTCAATAATTTTAAACGCATAAACAGTGAATTTGACAAGGAACAATGAAGAATAACTTTAAAGTAGATAACAGGCAATCTTGTGAAAAAATTGAAAATGCTATAAAAGCATATTGAAAAAATATATTCATCAGAAAAAATTCATAACAAAGTTTAGAACCAAATATGAGTAAGAAACTGATTAAAGTATATAAATATCTACTAAGAAAAATTAAAGTAATTTTAATTTTGTAATAAA